CATGTGTGCTGTTCATTTATCTTACAACAAGTCAAACATCTACTGTAGAATAATCCTAAGCCCAACAGCAACACACTATATAATTATACTATTAAGATGTATAAGTAAAATTCTGTTATTTTGACAACTGGAAATAATTATATTTTAAATTCTAACAGATACGTCCCAAGTAGATCAGTGGAAAGGTGTCGAACTCGCAATGCTAAAATCCGGGATTCGATTACCCTCGGTGGACACAGCTCAGATTGCCCATTGTGTAGCTTAGGGATAAACAAACAAACACATCGGTTTAATACAGCGGTTATCATTGAAGAACTACAAATCAATATGATCGCCCCCCAGTGGCACAGCGGTATGTCTGCGGACTTACAACGCTAGAAACCGGGTTTCGATACCCGTGGTGGGCAGAGCACAGATAGCCCTTGTGTAGCTTTGTGCATAATTAAAAACAAACAAAACAAACAATCAATATGATCCTTCAAAACGCCTAACGAATTGGTCGTTACCAGTGAAAGTGGGTTTTCTCGGGGTACTCACGTTTCCCCTAACATTAAATTCTCGGCATAGGATTTTTAGATCCCCGCCGCCCTGATGGATCATCTGTCCGACATTGGCCGTTTAGTTTAGTTTACTTTGCTCTTCACTTTTTTTTTTACCGTTACTCTCACGTTTACCTTTTTAAACTTACACACCTTGTCTGCATTAATTTCCTATTTTCTCAAGTTAAGCCCATATTCCTAGACCACGCGTGGGGTGAAGGAGGATTGTTTAATCTTCGAGCACCCTTGATTAATAATTATTTCTTAGGAGATAATTATTTTTAAATCAAAATAATTGCCAAGAACAACAACAAAAGGAGGATTTTGGGGGCGAAGGAGGATTGCTTAATCTTCGAGCACCCCTGATTAGTAATTATTTCTTCGGAAATAATTAATTTTAAATCAAAATAACTGCCAGAAATAAATATATAATACTCGAACGCACCTGTCGACTTTGCAAAAGGAGGGATCTTCCTCCAGCTCAAGTCATTTGAAGACCTACGCTACTTTTTCCGTTCATGGCTGTCAAACCCACCCGTCACCTGCCAACCGCCACCGTATCATGTGCAAGAAAACCGGACTAACCTCACAATTTGTAAAAGTTGTCACGACTTCTCAACCGACAGCAGACTTCATTCTCACCCACGGCTTAATTTCCACCGTTTTAAAACAGAAAAACCATACCGGAAGCCTCGCCCACCCTTATCCTAACCAGTATACCCCCAAGCCGATGCTTCACAACCTTCGAACAACACCCGCTGCCTACCAGAATTCCACAACCCACAATATAACCCAACTAACTACAAGATACCAAGAAACTTAGACTACAAGACAAGGTCACTCAAACAACTGTAACAAGAAGGAAAAAAGGTACTCAGACCCACTTCAACCTGTAACTGTCGAAGCATCACAACAAACCAGCAACCTATCCGAACTTACACCCTTCCCACCCCTCAGCCCAGATCCACATTCCGCCCCCTTCTCGTCAAACTCACTCAATGCTCTTGTTATCGACATCTCCGCCGACTACGATATACGTTTTGAACCTTTCCTTGCTTTCCGCCCACCTACCAACGACACCGAAGATTTCACACTGTGAAAACCCTAACCTACCAACAAAACCGAAGGCTTCACACCGTGAAAACCCTAACCTACCAACGACACCGAAAGCTTCACGCCGTGAAAACCCTATCTGAACTTGAACTCTTGTAAATTCCTAATGAACATCTGAATAATCAGAGACTCCACGAATCACTAACTAACCCTCAGCACAACCCTTCACTTTGTCCCTCCAATTTATATCTTCTCGCTAGCTGGGCACTAGTAACAAATTGGTTCCTTATCAGTGAAAGTGGGTTTTCTCGACGTATTCCCGTTTCCCCCTCATGAAACTCTTGACACAGGATTTAGAGATCCCCGCCGCCTTGAAGGACCATTTGTCCGAGATTGGCCGTTTATTATTATTAATATCAGTATATCTATTAGCTTATTCACTTTCAGCCCTTTCATCTCATCTGCAATTCAGATTTGTTCTTCTTCATTGTATATGGTTTCTGTGGGTTTTTAGTATTCTATACCACATGTAATTTAAACGATTATGAAGAATGAAGGTGATTAGTTCATTCATTATAAGTAACACACTTGAGTACTTTTTTTTTAATGTTACCTGATGGGACAGCGATAAGTCTTCGGGTTTACAAAGCTAAAATCAGGGGTTCGATTCCCCTTTGTGGACACAGCAGATAGCCTGCTGTGGCTTTGCTATAAGAAAACACACACACACACGTACCTTTTTAATTAATAGATGATCAGACATGATGTAATATTGCAACTCGATAGATTAGTTCAAACGGATTGCTTAATTCTAAATTGATCCAGCTGTGGTACAGTATAAAAGTAATTGATAAGTGTATACTTGGGAGAGTGTGCTTGTTTTTTATTGCAGAATAAAATAACGATCTTAAGTAACCTCGTCAGGCACATTACAATATGGATTGAGGTTACAGTGAGTATTGAGAAAAATAGGTTCTGACATTAAGGAATCAGGGTTAAAAAACTAAACACTGTTGCAAGAAGTTAAATGTTTAATTAATCATTTGACCTAGTTCATATGACGTATTTCTTTTTACTACATACTTGCGCTTTTTCTACTAAGACATTTATTTGTATGTTTTTATGTAGAAAGATCGTTTCGGGTCACAACAACTTACTATTTTTTATGATACCTTCTCGCCTTTTGCTGTTGTCCACTCTAATTATAATCATTGATTTCCTAGTATGTAAGTAGCTATTGGTCGAAAAGAAAATTAGTTGAAACAAATGAAATGACTTAACATAACCGTTTTGTTTCTCAAAACTACTCGAGACTTATATATGCTTGCTGTCCCTAATTTAGAAGTGATAGGGTAGAAGGAAGGCAGCTAGTCAACATCGCCTTCCTGTTACTAATTTAGAAGTGATAGGGTAGAAGGAAGGCAACTAGTCAATACCGCCTTGCTGTCCCTAATTTAGAAGTGATAGGGTAGAAGGAAGGCAATTAGTCAATACTGCCTTGCTGTCCCTAATTTAGAAGTGATAGGGTAGAAGGAAAGCAGCTAGTCAACACCGCCTTGCTGTTCCTAATTTAGAAGTAATAGGGTAGCAGTAAGGCAGCTAGTCAACATCGCCTACCGCTAACTCTTGCGTTACTCATTACCAATGAAAAGTGAGGTTGACCGTCGTATTATAACCTCACTCCCCACCGCTGAAAGGGAAAGCATGTTTGGTGACGAGATTCGAACCCGCGACCCGAAGATTGCGAGTCGAACACCCTAACTAACCACCAGGCCATGCCAGGCTTAACATAACAGAAATGCAAAATTTTTGTCATAATAAATGATAGTATAATAAAGAAAAGATTGCTGCAAACAATTTCTCAATTAACGTACACAAAATCACGAGCAAGCACCGTATTATCCTGATGGTGACGGGCTGATGCCAGTCGAAACATATTGTCTGTACGCCTGTTTTGTTTGTTCGTTAATAATGCATGTTTTTGTTTTTAAATATCTATTCATGTTCATAATAACGCCTGTATGTGGATTTTAATCACATTTAGCACGAAGTTCTTCTTAGCTATTTTTACATTCGTACAAGTTTCTTATACCATCAAAGTTAGGCCTACCCAAACCTAATGTACAGTAAATCAGTGGAATGGCATCATATCATATCATATCATAAGCAAATTTTTCGTTAATGATAAAATATAGTGGTTCTGAAACATTTAAACAACTTGCCTGGGATCTATATAAATGATCTTTCATCAGCGCAGGTAAGTGAATGAAAAAGTAAAGTGATTCTTTACCATGGCCGTCTGCAGGGGGGCGGAGGCAAGAAGGAGCACATGTCTCTCCTGGAAAATGAGAGACATAATTCTTTTTTTTTATTCATTCAGCATATGTATATGATTTTTTTATTCAATTCACAATTTCACACTACTTTGCCCCCCCCCCGGAAACTTTGCCCCTCTTTAGAAAAAATTCTGCAGACGCCCATGTTTTTTACACTATAAATTGCAATCGATTATCTGCTGCACCAAAAACTGCCGCTTAAAATACAGACGAATGTCAGAAACCAGCTATTAAAATAATAGCAATAAGCGATAGATAAATGTTCTCACTGGATCCACTTGTGATTATAAAGGTATTTCTAAACGAATTATACACCTGGAAATGTGTTTTTCTGTAGCATTTTCGTACAGTTTAACATCAATAGACACTTGGCTATAGACGTTCGATTTTAACTTACACAATTAAGATAGCTTAATGAAAGTATAACTGAATGAAAATTGTTTATCTGTTGTTTCTCGAGAATTCACGATGAAATGAACGTGAATATTTCAAAAGGTTTGACTATTCTTTATCAGCAAACATTATAAGCCATAGTTAGAAACGCCATTGCCTGAACGAAAAAGGTGGTCTTATCGGACCAACCGAGAGAGCTAGGAGGTACGGGATATTTTCCGGGACCCATTGCCCAAGAGAGCAGCAAAAATGCGTACAGAATGTATCCAATTAGGAAGAAACATTTAAGTAAAAATTAACCACTTCTTCAACCACTTATGTGTATACATGACATTACTCTAAAACTATTCGGTAGGGGAGGGGCAGGGCCATATTAAGGATGGGGCAGAAGGAGCCGCTGCACCATGGCCCATACACTTGGGGTCGACCGACGAAAATAAATTTTGAAATTGTTTATGCATTGTATGCTCTTGTATTTATATGGGTGGGGGTGGGGAGCGGAGCAAATGCCATTCTACTGCCCCAAGCCACACCTGACCTAAATCCGCCCGGAAGGGGCACCTGCCAATTCTCCCCCAGGGCACATAATAACTTTCAGCGACCCTGAGCTTTACAGATCACTCTCTAACGTATTAAGGTATTTTAAATTCCTATTTCTTAACAGTGAGCATTTGTATATATATATTAGTGTTAATTTTAATTATATCACAAGATTGCGTTTCCCGTTATCTTTTTATAGATAACTGTTTGAGATTACAGTTTCGATAACTTTTTTAACTCACTCTGTTTATTCCGTCTACGTGGGTTGTATTTCGCTAAAACTTTAAAACATACACTAGAGTCATTGGCGTAAATATACATTTTTGACTTTCACACACACATAAAGGACAACAATACACTTTTTTATCTTTGGCTAAACTTCGAGTGAGTTTGAAAAAAAATGTGATTTATAGTTATTTTCAAGTTGTTTGTATTTTTGGCAAAGCTACTAGGGTATCTGCTGCCATCCATATTTTTAACTACTGACCAGACGGAATGCAGTTAGTTAGCAGCATCACACTAAAGATTTGACTGTAACGGAACTCTTATAATACATCGCTAAAGTTTAAAGTGAGGGGAAATATTTTGTGATTTTCCATGAATTCTAACGCGGCTTGCTAGCAGCGAAATTCAAAACTCTATCACAGGACCAACTTGCGCTATCAACATTTCTCTATACACTCAACAATTAGTGAGAAAAAGAAAAAAATCAAGTTAGTACTATTATCTTTTAACTTTTCTTTCACAGTGTACGGCCACTTAATTTTCTACATGTTTAATATTATTGATTGTTTCTAGCATTATACGCCCGCAGACATACCACTTTGCCGCAATATTATTGATAGTTTAAATGGAGATGTTAGGAGAGGCACAAGTCTGTGATAACTTCTATAAACCTAAAACAATGTTGAAATACTATATAAATTAAAATTGGAGAAAGAAAAAGAACCTACGAAGGCCGATTTCTACAATGTGAAAATGAAAGTGAGAAAACAGGCTAGAAACACATCTCGTCAAATGGAGAAAAGTAACAATCCGGTAAAAACAGGTGTGTCCTTCCTTGTAACCATTTCTGAGGTGATTTCACTTAAGAAGAAAATAAATGAATACTAAAACATACCTTCTCCTACGCTTGTCTTTGACCTTATTTGTTTTTACAAAATCAACGTGCATTAATTGTGTAGTAACTAACACGGCAGTTGGAGGCCTCAAACTGCCTGAAGACCAGCTTATCAGCTAGCTTGACATACACATAGACTGATGAGGTTCTTTCACATCTATTGACCTTCTTTTCAACAAATTCGTATTCCTTAAGTAACTAATCAGGTGATAGCCTATTTTGTAATGTGACTCCAATGAAAGTACAATAATTTGTTTACTAATGAAGCGTTTATTACAGTTATCGATTGTTTATTGAACAATGATTTAAACCTCAAAATGGTCAGATTCTTGTTGTTTAACTCTCATGACGTAAGTAAATTAATATGTAAAATTATATATGGGCTTTTCTCTGC